TGCTCTTTTAGCTAAAACCGGTTTCAGCTCATGCTGCACAAGCAAGTATGATTGTGTTACATATACTTAGAGGCGTGATATAAGTGGAACCAGTTTTACCACCAGGTTAATAATCGTGTTTTCTTACCTTGTGAGCTTCATAGACCGCATGCTCAACTATTCAGTGGGACAGAGATGGCAACAACCAAAGTTCTGATTAGCATGCAACGAATAAGAGACATAAAGTCCAAACTCAAAGTTTTTTTACCATTGCACAAGGTAGGTTCCCGCTCGCTGTTCCCAGATGCACTGAAGAAAAATAAAATCAAGAGAAATGAGTATCATAAGCAATAGAGCTTTTGACTTTTCAGAATTTCCACTGAAATTTAAATATAAAGAAGCGAATATGTAGATAGATATGAATTAAGCAGATTTGCACATACGTCAAAAGAACTTTTGCAGCCTCTTGACACTCAGAAACTCGCAGATTATATCCTGGGTTGGTGGTCAATGCCTGCCTCAAACCTGAGAATGCTAACAATATCCTGAACGGTTTGTCCAGTTCAGGAGCCTGTACAAGATCGTGGTCCATAGTCTGCATATTCAAACAGTTTTTCTGAGATGGCAGTTTCTGGGAGAAAATAAATCTAGGCAATCAACATTCATGTTTCCCTATCTATGGCTGGTTAGGAAGGACTTTATGAGCCTCCTGATGATAACCATTCATTTTTCTTTTAGTAGGAACTTAGCATTGTAATACATAAAAATTGAAGCAAATGAAAAAATTAAACACTTTATGTGCTCGTAAAAGCATTGAGAATGTCCTTTTAGTAGATCTGATTTGATCCTGAGGCAAATTTCAGTTTAGGAATCAAAATATATTTCAGGCATCCCATGTGAACTTGCCCTACAGAACAGTCTTGGTTTTACCACATGAGCAAGCTTCTTGCTTTTTTGCACACTATATCACTAACAAGTCAAGGAAATTTTACCTTGCAGTCCATGTATGTTAGACACCCATAACTTGAAAGCAAAATAGCCGATTGATCCAAAATTCCATTCCGCAGACCCAGATATCCGTTCTCAATAAGTCTACAGACACAATGAATTACATGTAAATCGACCAATTTGCAGCACTAGTTGCTGGTTTGCAGGAAGGCATACTCATGAAGCAATAAAGACGAGGTTCTTAGTTAGATTAAAGGGAAAATTGTATTTACCTGTCATATTCGATATTTTCTGTTGGGGATACAGTCAATTCGTTTGCATTCTCTAAAGCTAGCAGGTATGCCACACCAACCTGTCACATTTCTGGCGATCATAAAATTATACAAGATTCATTTTCCAAAAATGATAAGTAAACACCGCTCTCATATGCTAAAAGTGTATAGTTACTAGTAAAGAACAGTACAAATTGTCTTTGCGGAGAAACTCCTGCTGTACAAAAACTGGCGGGTTTTAGTTACTTACAGCAGCTGATGAGCTAAGCCCAGAACTATCTAGTCCATTTGAGCCACTGAGGTAACCAACAATGCCCTTCAAAGATCAAAACAATTACTTAGAAACACATTCAAATACCTTTTGCTTTAAATACAATTATGTCAACTATTTTGGGGAAAGCAAGGCCAAAAAGATCATGTATGGCAACAGAAAAGGGTAAAGGTGGAACCCCAGAAGATCACACGGCAAATGTGCAGGCTAAACCTCACTTCCCTTTAATGGTCAACTTTATCTATAGCTATAACCAATTAACCAGTAGACCAAATTTGAACCTGTTACCTGTTTGAGATTCTTTTTGCTGGTCTGTAACGCATAAACTGCTCCTCTGGCATAAGTGCCCCAGATGCTTTTTTCTTTCGATGGAGATGGGGTGCTTGCACCATTCTTGTTTGCTATGCCTATTGGGTGCTGGATTTCATCTACTCTATAATTTCAGAACCCGAAAAGGCTATTAGCATTATGCATAGAAGATTTTCAATTCCTTTACCACCACAACGAGTTCAAAATTGAAATGCACTAAGGAAAACAAAAATACCTCTAGAAATTTTTATTTTTTTTTTTGGACAAAACCTCTAGAAAAACTAGAAAAACATGCAAGCTCTTCCAACACTGATACTTTTGTTTCCCTTGCAGCGCTAAGGGTCCTCAATTTCCAATGAATTCTAGGGAAATATGCACAAAACCTAAAGATTGAATCTGATAAATGTCTAAGACTTAAGTGAAAGATAAGTTCATCTACACACTAAAATGAGATATAATGGAATGCTGGCAAGATAGAAATACTTCCACAATATCCAAGATGCAGGCTTTATCCTATACGTGGCTTAGTAACCAGCTTATGCATGTCTGATGATGGACATAAAAGTTGGTAAACACTAATGACAAGATGAGAGATCTTGAAAGATATGCACACCTGAAACATACTTCTCCTTCAAATTGTGCAGAACGCAACTGGACCTGCATATAAATTAGAAATAGAATAAATGGTACAAAGACTTCAAGGCTCAAGTGAAACACACAGACACAAGGAACTTTCCAAACTCAGAAATATATCTTAATCTCCTGTCTACATACCACATTCATTTTGAAATTTCCAATTCTTTAATGCTATCTTCAGGTCAGGTGAGAAAAAAAAAAGAGACCAGGACACTATATTCTACACTATCATGATCTCAAATTCTCAATCTACCTCAAACTGAACCAAGCCAAGCCTAGATTATTGAATGCTATTCAAGAAAATTGCATTATACCATCAACGGGTCATTCATCCGAAAATTAGAATGGTGCTTATTTGTGCAATAACTCAAGCATGGCAAACATATGAATTTGATTGACAAGTTCACTTGGAGGAATACCAAAACACATAAGAATCATCATAACTAATACACACCTGAGTATCGCCGGATGGAACAAAACCAAGAAGGATCCCTTTATTAATCGTCATAGCTGATACAGTTCCACCCTGCGAACACCATAGATGATTTGAATTTACAAAGAAATGGTATGAATCAGACTAACTCTTGTAGTCTAATCAAAACCGTGATTACATAGCTATTATCACAAACCAACCTGGTGATCAATGTGAGCTCCTAAAGGACATATACGATAAGGCGCAACCACCACTCGAACTTCTCCTTTATCTCTTCCACTCATCTGAGCCACTGCTTCCTTTATGGAATTTAACTGGAAAAAAATTAGCGATCTCGTAAGATTAACACCAAATCAAATTTCAAAATATCCAAACACACAAAACAAACACTCGCGGCAATTCGCAGCATATACATTGAGCTCCCCACACAGAAACTAATGAAATTGTTCGATCACAAGTCCGATTAACATTTCGCCGGGAAAATGTAACCGGATAATACATCTCCGTCGCTCATTTCTAACGAAAATTAACACAACGGAGGATATTGGCACCGAGTAAACCAACGATAACAAGCAGATTCGTGCGTAAATTAGGAAAAATGAAGATTAACCTCAGAATCCGTAGGCCAAGACATTGTCGCGAAGCTTTTCCCAGCTGAAAATCTACGGATGCTTAGATTGTCGTAGGAGTTCTGGGATTAGATGGAGACGAAGAAGTGTGCAGAGGAAGTGCGAGATGTGGGAGTAAAAACCGTCGAATGAGGACGATGACTAAATAGTGTGGTGTTTGGTAACACGTCTAATTATATCCTTTTGTTAGTGTTTGGTAAACCTTTAATTTCCCTTCGTTTAAAAGCTTTGATTTTGGCTAACTATAGTCTATTCTCACCAAAAAAATTATCAAGTAATGTTCTGAATACAAAATAATAGTTTCATAAATTGATTAAAATCATTTGACGACAAAAACTATGTTTTGCTTGAACTAATTGAACTATTTTCAAATAGAAAGAGACGATAGAACATTATTGATCTCATATCTTTTGTTATCCATATGATTTTCGTTCACCCCTCTCAATGTATATACCAATTTATACGTATACACATCAATCCTCCATATTTGGAGTGGTAGCTTTAGTGTAAACATGCTTATGATCTCTGGTACATTTTTTCGCATGAACTTTATCTCATAGTTACCATCAGATATATATATCTTACTAAAGATCATCTTAGTATAAGAAGCCTCTTTCAATTCTTTATGAGTACAAGGATCATAAGATCTTACTAATGACTTTTACGACGCAAGCTCTTCTCCAACGTCAGATTTATCCCCTTTTGCAATCTTTTGATCAGATGTGACCTTTCTAGTTACAGTTTGGATTTGATTTTATATATTTTGGCTTAGCGTAAAAGATGATATTAATAAAAGGTCAAGAGTTCCTAGTACATGTATATGTAATTGCTCCAAACAAGGTTTGAAAAGTCTATTACGGAGCAGGAGAAAACATCTGCCGACAAATGTCAGAGGAAAACAAATGAATTAAGTAAATTCTTATATCAACCAACTATCAGATTTTTTTAGTAACAATATTCTTTGACAGCTTTATATCAAACATAATTAAACTATCCAAAGTTGACAATATAATCCCTATGAATATTGTAATGTAGAGGATATTCAAGAGATTAATTTCTATTAAATTAAATAAACAAATAGACGGACCTTTTTTTGTGTTCAGAAGACAATCACCAGTTCACCACAGCACCACTGATAATAAAAAGAAGGAACCAACAATAAATTGAACCACAAATTATAAACATAACACAAACTTAAATATACTTCCAAATTTTGTAAACTAAAGATAGAATTGAAAATAATGAATTCGTTAAACCAAGAAACATGCAGAAGCTAAAGTCCAACCGAAAACATAGTGGCCAATCTTAAACAAATATGTTTCACCGACATGATTATATCACATAAAAGAATAAAACATGAGAAGCACTTGTAGTTAAATACATTCTTGGTATTTTAATGTGAAAATTTCTAATCCCCTTTGTGCCTCGCACGTTAGTTGTTATTAGAGGTCTATTCAAATTATTATATTTTTTCTATGTATTTATATCGACTCTCCAACATCTACAAACCAAACATAACTAACGAGAAACTTCAAAAGAATACAAAGAAAAATTAGAAAAGAGGGACGGAGAAAATGTCGTCCCCGTACGGCAAAGTCGACGAGCATGAACACATAAGGCTCGAAGCTCGTCGTAAGACGAGAAAGAACATCGCAATCATCGCTGTATCACTAGTCATTCTCGCCGGAATCGTGATCGGAGCCGTGTTTGGAACCATGGCTCATAAGAAGTCATCAGAGACAGAGGAGACTAATAACAACGGAGACTCAATCTCCGTTTCCGTTAAAGCTGTTTGCGACGTTACGTTGCATAAAGACAAATGCTTCGAAACCCTCGGATCAGCTCCAAACGCGAGCAGTCTCAATCCAGAAGAGCTCTTCAAATACGCAGTCAAAATCACAATCACCGAAGTTTCAAAAGCTATCAACGCTTTCTCTTCATCCTTAGGTGATGAAAAGAACAACATCACCATGAACGCTTGCGCTGAGCTTCTTGACCTAACGATAGATAACCTCAACAACACGTTAACGTCATCAGCAAACGGTGATGTCACGGTTCCTGAGCTAGTTGATGATCTCCGTACATGGCTGAGCTCAGCCGAGACGTATCAAGAGACGTGCGTGGAGACGTTGGCTCCAGATATGAAGCCGTTCGGAGAAAGTCATCTCAAGAACTCAACGGAGTTAACGAGTAACGCACTAGCGATCATCACGTGGCTCGGAAAGATCGCTGACTCTTTCAAACTCCGGAGGCGTTTGTTGACAACTGTCGACGTGGATGTGGAAGTCCACGCTGGAAGGAGATTGTTGCAGAGCACGGATTTGAGGAAAGTGGCCAATATTGTGGTTGCGAAGGATGGTTCGGGGAAGTATAGAACGATAAGTAGGGCTTTAGAGGATGTGCCTGAGAAGAGTGAGAAGAGGACGATTATATATGTGAAGAAAGGAGTTTATTTTGAGAATGTGAAGGTGGAGAAGAAGATGTGGAATGTTGTTGTGGTTGGAGATGGAGAGAGCAAGAGTATTGTCTCTGGTAGACTTAATGTCATCGATGGAACTCCAACTTTTAAGACCGCCACATTCGGTAAATCTCTCTCTCTCTCGTTTATTCATTTTTTTTGCTTTGGAAACAGAGGATTCTGAAATAACACGACTTGCTTGTTTCATCAATTCAATTACGGTCCAATAATAACTAGACCAACCAAATAATCACACAAACCAGAGATAGACCATTTTGAAATTATGTTTAAATAATACCAACTAGAAGATATAAGATAGTTATTGCTTATCACCCAAGAAACTGGTTCATGCCTAGGGCTTGTTCTGTTTTTTTTTTTTGGTTCACCTGAGCTTGTGGTGCCTTGGTCTGTTTATGCTCTGTTTTTGTATAGCCGTGTTGGAAAGGGTTTTTAAAAAAGAAGGAAAGTAACTTTAATAATTATTCTGTGGCCACTTAGTATAAAAAAATAATTCAAATGGTCACATAAACCAAATTTATGTGAAATATTATTGCCTAGAAATTAATGTATATGTGATAATTGTTTGCCACCCAAGAAACCGGTCTTTTGACATGCTCTGTTTTCTGCAGCTGTGTTTGGAAAAGGGTTTATGGCAAGAGACATGGGCTTCATCAACACCGCTGGTCCATCCAAACACCAAGCCGTGGCTCTAATGGTAAGCGCGGATCTCGCAGCCTTTTACCGCTGCACAATGAACGCATACCAAGACACGCTTTACGTGCACGCTCAACGCCAATTCTACCGTGACTGCACCATCATTGGAACAGTCGATTTCATCTTCGGTAATTCAGCATCAGTTCTCCAAAACTGCCGGATTCTCCCTCGCCGACCAATGAAAGGACAACAAAACACAATCACAGCTCAGGGACGTACTGATCCGAACATGAACACAGGAATCTCAATTCACCGTTGTAACATCTCTCCACTCGGTGACCTAACCGATGTTAAGACGTTTTTAGGTCGACCATGGAAGAATTTCTCGACGACAGTGGTAATGGACTCGTATTTGCATGGGTTCGTTGACAGGAAAGGTTGGTTGCCTTGGACCGGAGATTCTGCGCCGGATACTATATTTTACGGTGAGTATAAGAATACCGGCGCTGGTGCGTCTACGAAGAATAGGGTTAAGTGGAAGGGATTGAGGTTTCTTAGTAAGAAGGAAGCGAATAGGTTTACGGTGAAACCGTTCATCGACGGAGGAAGATGGCTCCCGGCGACAAAAGTGCCGTTCAGGTCCGGCCTCTGAGTTTGTCTTTTCCGTTAACGAGATTTCCTATTCAAATCCCTCTTCTTTTTGGATCTTGTAATATATAAATATATAATTTTTTCATTATTGAGAGTTTTCAGTGTTACTCTTATTCTTTTGTATTACATTGTTTGATTGATTTAATTCAAATTACATTGTTTTAACACAATAAATCTACTATACATATTCGTAGTGGTGGTCAATTAGTCCAAATTTTTTAAAGCTATTATCAAATTTCATGGCATCAAAACTTAACTTTCTGCAAAATTTGAGAGTATATATATCTAGGTTTCGGTGTACAATTTATTGGTTATCTGAAACTAGAAGTCTAGAACAAATGAAATTTTATTGCTTTAATTATTTTTAAATGAGGAAGTACATGTAATTGAATATGATTTCATATAATATGGTGTCATTCTTTGCGAAGCAAACCACCATAGAAAGGAATATCGGTTTGAGGCAACCATGTATCTCCCATGGTGAAGTTGTAGACCGTGAAGTTCATGGCTTCTGCCAAGTTCAATAAATTGTATCCTAACCACTGCACTCTCTGGTTCGTGTTAGCCCCTGGTCCAAAGTTATCGTATTCACCGTAGTAGATTGTGTCTAGTCCAGTTGTACCGTTCCATTCAAGCCATCCTACTGGTTGGACAATGTCACTAATATATGATTGCATGAAAACCGTCCTTGAGTAGGGCTTCCATGGTCTCCCTAAGAATGTCATGGCTGATTTAGGATCGGCTGCAAGATCTGGGGCGGCTTTTATTGTACAATTGATGATAGAGATTCCGGTATTCTGGTTTGGATCGAGTCTTCCATGAGCAGTTATCGCGTTCTTTTGCTTGGCCATTGGTTTTCGAGCATATATGTTGCAGTTTTGGAAAATTGCGGCAGCATTTCCGAATATAAAATCGATGGTACCTATAACAAAAAAGGGATAAAAAGAGTATACACATGTTAAAAAACCTATTTAGTGAAATAAATAACTTTTAACGCAAGGACCACATTACCATTCCAAATTTAAGAGTATATATATGATTAACTAGTTTTGACTATTTTGGTGAGTCCTAACCACTAAGAAATAGTTCTAAAGTTATGAGATTGAGCCTAGTTTTAAAAATCTTATTCCAACAATTATAAATAAGTATATAAAATGAAGCCAAAACAAAACTTATATTACCATATATATCGCATTCACGATAGAATTGTCTGAGAGAATGGACGTAGAGAGTATCTTGATAGCCTTCAAAACTACACCGATAAAAACTCGATCCTTCTGCATTGTTCCTCAAAGCTACAGCCTGATGTTTTTCAGGTCCGGCTGTGTTTCTGAATGTAACATCAACCGCCATGAACCGCTCTCCAACCACAGCTAGAAAAAAAAAGAATTATATATCAGAAACTAAGTAGTAAGTAGGCACACAATTCCAAATGACAAAAAGAGAGATAAAAACACCAACCAAAGCTCGAGCAATTATACGTAGTCCAACCATCAACAACGTTGTGGTTCCCAGTAATAATCGTCTTATTGATCCCATCTCCAATAAGCATTAAGTTCTTTTTGTTGATGGGAACAACAATATATTCTTCATAGACACCTTCTCTTGCGTAGATGACAAAGTAACCATCCTCTGGTCTAGTGTTATTTGGTGCGGCTGCAATAGCATCTGTGATGGTTGTGAAGTTGTCGGATTTGTACGGGCCGACGATCACTGCTTTACTCACGAGGATGGAACCGCCGCTTGTCTCACCTAGCTCCCCTAAGTTCCGGCTAGCTTTCCGACAATCTTTGTCGTTGTCGCATGTTTTACGTAAACCCTATACCAGAAAATAAAATGTCCTTGATTAGTACATGATTAGCTTGTAGACTCATGCCTTTTAAAAATCAATGTTCATTGTAGCCACACATGAAATGACGAGGACACTCTTATGCACGTGAATACAGTTGGATTCGAATGGGGACCAAATTGATTTCTTTTGTTAAAGTCAAAGATTGGACCTATTTGATCATCGTTGAATTGTGCTAAAATGTGCGTAGGCCATGTGCCATTTACTCTCTTACGCGTGTTCTGGCTCACACACATCAAGAGCACCTCCATTTATGACTCGATCTAGAAAATTTAGATATGCTCAAATATTAAATCATTCCGTGCGTCCTAAACAAGTAAATTCATACCATATCTAACTTAGTATGTCCCCCATACGTCTACGAGGCTTATCTACTTTGTACAAGTATGTCCAAATTTCTTTTCCATAACGTTACATTATTTCAGGTTTGAATTCATGATGTGGTGGCCTATATATCACAACAACATGTTTTAACCATACAAAAAATTCTGTTTTGATTTTTTATAATTAAGTATTTATGATAATTAAGGGAATGTATAAAAGCTATTATAAACAAACAAACAAAAAAACAGAATTAGAAACAAGTTTAATTAATTACCTTAATCAAAGTCTCGAGCGGTTCACGATATGTTGAGTTCGCACCACCAAGAATCTTCCCTTTACCAGCTTTATACCTCTTTAGGTTACGATTAAGCGCGTGGCTCACAAGCCCCAACGAGATACTGTAAAGTCGCGTGAGATTTCCCATCGGCGACCCAATCGCGGCGGCGAATCCACTCTTTGCCTCCGCGAGTCCGTCAAGGCACGTCTGCTGATTCGTCACCACACCACTGAGAAGACTGTTCACATGCTCGACTAGAGCTGCAGTCATCACCTGCGCCGTCTTGAGCTCCGTCGTGACCATTTCAAGGTAGTTCACACTCAGCTCCGATAACTCGCCGCAGTCCGCTAGAGCGCCGATTTCCTCGGCCGTGGCGGAGCCTGGTTTGCTTTTCACGCGGAGCGCGTAACTGGTGATGACTTTGGAGAGACGGCTTGCTTGCTTGAGGCATTGCTTTATCGTGAATTTGCCGTAACGGTAAGGATCGGACGGTGAGGATTTAACAGCGTTGAGGATCGTACGGCAGAGCTTAGGGTATGGAGTTGACTTACAAGCGAGAGAAGGTGACTGAGCCTGTGACGGAGGCAAAGAAGGTGGCTGTGACGGTGGCACGAATATTGGTGGCTGTGACGGAGGCAAGAATGGTGACTCTACCGGAGGCTCAAACGGTAACGGTGACGGAGGCTCAGAAGGTGGCTGTGACGAAGATTGTTCTGATGAGATTAGCAAAGCCCATGAGAGGAAGATAAAAGACAGGAACAAGAGAGAAGAAGTGAAGTTTAGTGTTTGCATTTTTATCTTGTGTTTTGTTTGTATGTATTGATGGTGTTTGTTTTTGTGGATCTGCTATTCTGCTATATATATAGACTATACGAGGAGCTTTGTGCTATTTAATGAATGCATGGGTTCGAGGGAAACTAAATTATGTAATGCATGTTGGTCTAATAATTTATATACGTCCTAATGTATACTATATAATTTCGTTTTGGTCAAATACGAGTTTTTTTCTTGAGATCCAATTGTTTTTGGAGCCGGTGGTCCACCGTCACGATGACCAAACTTGGGTTGACTTGGTTAGAAGAGTTTTTTTTTCATGTGATTTAACCGTAAAAAATGGGTATTTTTAGAGCTTAATTTTTGTTTAGCCCAATTTTGTATGCCAGTTGACACTGTTAAAAATTAACATTAATCAGACATGTCAAAGATTAATTTGTATTTAATGTTATTTATAATTTAACAAGCTGTGTTGACTTTGAAGAGGGTTTGATATCAATTATTTGACCGTAGATATGCATGTGATGTGTTGGGGAGCTTTTAAACAAGGCAAGACGGTGAAGCCTAAAACAAGAAGTCGTCACTTTGTCAATTACGCAATTCACACTAACAAGTTATGGTCCATCTAAATACACACTCTTCCTATCAAGGTAACTATTAATAATCCAAAATCAATCTTTGTTTCAACTAATGAATATGTCTACTCTACTAGAATTTGTAATATTATTTGTGGTATTATTTGTTTTAGGTGAAAGCTTTAAGAGAAACTCTGTCAAAATTCAAACCAACAAAACCGAACATCAAACTACATTCTCTATAATTTCAATTCGGAGGATACATACCCTAACCAAAACAGATTTGAAAACTAATAATCACGAATACAACCAAATGATTCTGATTACAGACTAGAAGCTTTTCCCACCACACAAACTAACAAAAAAAGAGAGATAATCTATGAGAGGGAATGTTACAAATAGAAGAAAAGTTTCACGTGGACTTCAGATTAAGCATGAACAACAGAGACTGAGTCTAGTTGACGGCCATGAACCCTGAAGCGGTAGATGCAAGTGTGCGAAGAGCTTCCATGGTTGGAACTGAAGTCGAGCCTGACAGTGTTGACAAGTCCCGAGTGAGCAGAATCTGCAATGTCGAATGTCTGTGCATTGGACCTGTCTAAGTCGTAACTGAATTCTGTAAGAATGGGCATGGTTTCAGTCTCCATATCTATGTCACCTAGCCATCCTGATACCCGGCAATCCTTTGGGGCGCTCGATCTGTCATACGCCACAGCCTGTTCGATAAAATGGTGCATAACATAACCGTAAGATCAGTATTCCCTTTTAGTGGTCAGACTAGAAGAAATTTATCAGACAAATGATTACAAGGATGAACAATGATGGAAAGCAATGTGTGACCATCACATTACACACTCTACGCAATGAGACTATTTCCCTTCTGCTACTGTTTCCTAAAGATATCCCTAAACTGTGAATATTACAGTTCCACTAATTGCTTACAAGCTCTTCCCATATATACGGTTCTTTTCTCTGTCAACGATATCTCAAACAAAGCACAAGAACACAGTGGCATATTGATATTAGACAAAGGAACTGCTAAAGCTAATGATTTGCAGAAAATAACATACAGTAAAACCCTCCTCAATGCATATTTTCACAGCTAGTGCCTAAACTAAACCCCAAGCTATAAGAACTCAAATTCACAAAACTAGTTTCTTGCCCTATATTCGATAACCTATTGTCACCAGCAATCCAATCCGAAGTACATGGCATCTCAATACCAACAACATTTAACAGAGAGCCCTTCTTGAGGGCTCAAATTAACATATAGAAATCGATGATTCTGTGAAAGTAATAGTATTGAGATGTTAGTAATACCTCAGAGACATGTTCCAAGGTAACGGCCTCTGGAATTATTGGTGCTCTTAGCCTGACTAGAACATATCCGTTGCTTCCTTTCAGAGGAAAACACTGTCCAGGCTCCCCGAAACTCGGAGTTAACATCTTAACCGCTTTGCTATGAACCCGCCGCCTGCTTGTCCCAAACCAATTACCCCCACTTCCAACAAGGTACGGATCCGAATGCCCCATTACAAAAGCCCCACCAGACGCTAACGCATAGTCTACTCGGCCAAGGCCATCAGCAGCATGCTTTCCAATCTCTTTCTCCACTACGTCACGAGCATAAGCCCTCAATTCATCAATGTTAACAGCAGAATCACCGACCTTACCCTTCTTCAACTCCTCGTAAACTCTCTCTAATTCCTCTCTAGACACCAAAGGTTTAGCATTTAACTCATCTACAGAAACCTGTAATCTATCTGTCTTAGACTCTACCTTCTTCAACCCACTCTGCAACACAGAAGATGTGGAATCTATCGTCTGCCTCAATGCTCTTGATTCGCTTTCCATCTTCTTATCAAGAAATTCAACTTGAACCTGCATCATCTTCGTCGTAGTCTTTACCAAACCATCAACAGCCGAAATCCGACTCTCCAACTCCGAAAGCACCATTTCCGTTTCAATTGGAAAATTCGAAGAAGACAGAGACGAATCCTTCAAAGTCAATTTCCTAATCAATTGAATCAATCCAACAAGTAACAAAAGAGCCCCAAATTGCTTCACGAATACCCTAACCACTGTCTTCCACTGCCCTTTATCTGTCTTATTCCCCTGAGCCTTCCGCGTTCGACGCTGCGTGGTGGTTGTATTAGTCCCCGTCGCGGTGGATCCTGATTTCCTAGTCACCGGACCTACGTCGTAGGTGTTAGATCTCTCAGCGGCAGCCTCGGAGCGAATCAGATCCTTGTTCGTACCAGCGGAGGACTCTCCAATTGCCGCATTGGCATGAGATTCGCTCGGCGGGAAATCAAAATTGGATTTCTTCTCACCGGAGAGAACCGGCGTCCGCCTAATTGCCCTCGTAGGACTAGCGGTGATTGACACCGTTGACGCCGACATGATCTCTGGATTTTGAACTACAGAATTCTCGAAAAATACTCTTCCTTTGGATTGAATAAACCCTAATTTTGACTACACAGAGAGAGATTTGAAATGGAAGAAGAGCGAGGAAGTTTATATAGGAGAGAGACTGAGACTACAAATTCAATTTCGAAAATCTGAATCGTGTGTTCTTCAGTTTCGCCATTTTTTATTTGTTTTGCTCCTCCAAATTCAAATTCAGATTATGATGGGCTTTAAAAAGCCCACTAAGGAAATAAAATGGCCCAGCCCAATTTCATGCATCGTCTTCTTCTTTTATGCTAAGAGTAAAGAGACTGTTGATTCATCACTCAAGCTTGTTCTTCATTCTTACATAGTTACATATCAAGTTATTCAAAGTCGAGATATGCTCTCATGATTAAAGAAAGTAACTTTATTCACCAAACTATTATTATCTATACACACGGATTTAAATTATAAAATGTAATTAGATTTTAACCACAAAGAGACTTTTGACATGAAGTTATTTGACTTCCTTGTTCACACAGTGGTAGTTTTCTGATGGGAAGAAGAATCAGAAATTGGCATTCTTATTTTTGCAGATTCCTTCAACAAATCGAATGAAGAAAAGGAATGTGGCGGGAGAACAACGGTCAGGTCCTCCTCTGCCATCTCTAGCAAGCTTTCATGTGGCACAACCTGCAAAAGATAATTGAATTAGATTTAATCACGAAGAACAAAGGAAAACTCAAATTTGTGATGTTCCATTTCTTGATTTTTACCTTCTCTGGTTGTGAGAAGGAATTTTCATCCATCACATTGGTAGATGTAAGTACTGTCTTCTTTGATCCTGTAACTCTCATCACGTTCGGGTCTAATCCAGTTACCAACACTTTCATATTTACTGAGTTAGCTCCGAAGTTTACAGCCTGCAAATAACAGATTTTGAAAACAGTTTTTGGGGTCAGAATCAGAGTTGAGGTTGAAAGAAAGTTTCTGCGGATATTTCACTCGGTTTACTACCTTGATGCGTATGTAATCTTTGCCATTGTTTTTCCAAGAGATTGCAGATGCAACAAGAGAAGTAGAGTTTCCCTTGAGTGTTGAAGTGAGAAGAGTTGCTCCGCTTGACTCTGCGAAGAACCGTTGCACCCAATAGCTTGGAGTTCCATATAGATGGGAGGAATTGAAGACTATTGCATCAGGGTTCCACCTGAAACCAAATCCAAGAATTTGAGATTATTGCCTTATCTTCCTGAGTAACCATTAGAACGGAAAAAAGAAGTGGAAAGTAAGTGAGAGATACCGTCTATCGTTTGTGTTCACAAAGAGTGGTGCATAACTTGCCATTTCCACAATGTCACTGCAACAAAGAAAATCATCAGATGTTTTACTTATTTTGATGTTTTTAGTTGAGTTCAAAGAAATTTGTAAGAAACCTATTCTTTTCAAGACCAATGAGAAACGCAGCTTCTGCAAGAGAGGCGAGAAGGCTTCCCGTACCAGCATCTTTTCCAGTCACAGCATATTCACTGACAAAAGCCTGCAAACAAAGTTCAAGAGTGAGCAACAAATACTGAAAGCTTCACCTTGTCTTTGTTGGAATTAAGTTTTGTTATAATCTATTACATCACCTTTGGACCATTGCGTGAAGTGCGGTCAAATTGATGATACATGGAAAACAAATTGCTAGCAGAAGTGTAAATCTGTGACAAAAGGAAACACTTTTTTCAGGCGGAAGAGAGAACACAAAACAACGTTTACAGTTTCTGTTAAGAAAGAAAATTTTACGTGATAGTCATAGTAATCAGCTGGGTGGTCGAGCGGATGAGAGGATCCATCACAGTTGGATATGATTTTGATATCTGGATAGGCTTTTTTGATAGCATCATAGAACACAATATAGTTTCCTGTAAAATTGTAATCTCATTTAGTGTCAAAGATGCTCAATAGAAATCTAAGTCAAAATGTGATCATAGAGAAATGCAAAACCTCTGTAGTAAGTTTTTCCACAATCTTCATTCCCAATAGCAACGTATTTCAGTTCAAAAGGTTCTTGGCGTCCCATTTTAGCTCGAACTGATCCCCATGTAGAATTAGCATCTCCTCGGGCAAACTCGACACCGTCGAGTGCTTCCTGAAACAAAAAGAGTAAAAACTTTCGGTTTTCCGGCTTCTTCACTAGTGAAACAGAGGAAGGTTTCGTAATTATACTTGAACAAAGGGCATGATACTGGCAGTTTCAACTTCATCATTGTGACTTATCCCTGCACAAAAGGTAAGAAATAAGGTTGATAGAATTGGAAGACCAAAGGATATAAGTCAATTACAACTAAGTTTTTGGAGAATGAAAGAATACCATTGTTAAACACCCATATCGGGGCTGCACCAATGTCTTCTGCCATCTGCAAGAATGTTCATTTAATATTCGATAATGAGCTTCCGGGATCGTTACATATCCAAAACTGAGGATTTTCATACTAAATAGAAAAGAAAAAGTCTCACTTGAAAGAACTCAAAGTGGCCAAGGCCATCATCGGTCCAATACTTCCAAACATCACCAAAATGTCCTGGTCTCTCTTCCCAAGGTCCTACAGTTTCTTTCCATCGGAAGGCATTACTTAACCATTCACCCTCGACAAAACAACCACCTAAGTCCACAAAGATCCAGAGTGAAGAATAAACTTAAGCTTATTTCATCACCACAAGGAACTAGAAGTGCGTATATGGGCAAAATAAGCAACAATATGCTATTAGCCCTATATATTACCTGGGAACCGGATGAAACGGGGTTTAATATCAACCATCATTTGGAAAAGATCGTTTCTAAAACCATGTCCCTGCAATCAACCAAAAAGATTGAAGATTTGATAGATTTTTCTTCCAATATTTTCACTATTAGCAATCTGCAATCTTTCATCTCAAGGCTCTACAGGGAATCAGAGAGAACGAAAAAGAACCTTGTAAGTATCCACTGGCATGGCGGAGACTTGGTCAATCCATATTGACCCTTTCTTGGTTGTTGTTAACTGGAGTCTTGCACTAGGATCTGTACCTTTTGCCTCCAAAAGAACCTCTTTTTTAATCCATTTCGAAACATCAGAAGCAGAAGCTCTACATTGAAACAAATGAAAGCATACAATTGAAACTTTCACACATTGAAAGAACAAAAGAAACATATTCAGACTTAACTGAAGAATCTGAAATTGTTTCTCACATGATCTTTTCAGAAGCAAGAGTCAGTGATCCATTCGAGCTCGTCAACGACACAGACACATCGATATCACCAGTTGAACGCACATAAAGAGCCACCTTGTACTTCTTTCCTTCTTCAATATTCTAACAGAAGATAGAAAATGAAAAAAACAGCTAAACCCATACTCTTGACACCGAGGGAAACAGAAAAGTGTTCACACTTGACACTCACCATGCCCCAGTAACCAGGGTTATAAACTCCGACACCTCCCAATGGACAACCTTTGCTATCACAAAGTACATCCATTCTCAATGCGATTTTATTCCGTTCAAAGCATGATGAACGGTCTGTAGCTACATATATGGATGAATGATCACCAACAATGGACCATGGCCAAATATTAGAGGGTGTGTTTTGCCCACCAGCTTCAAACCCTGGAAACCAAAGTTTTTTGCTTAAGAGTTGCTACCACCTTTTTCCTCATCATGTAAAGAAAGAAAAAGAAGCCAACACCGATTGATTCCCATGGATTTTCAGCAGTAACAAGCTTAAAAGCTAACCTCTGTTGCTAACAAGTTCGGCCCATAATCCACCGGCACCAGCATGGTTGATCTCCTGTAAATGATTTGAACATATAGCATATTAAATTTATGATGAATTTGAACACATAGTGTATATAGCAAAGATCTATTTGAGACTGTAACGTTAACAAACCTCGAAGAATATCCCAAATAGCGTTTCAGGAATGGGTCGTCCAGCTCCATTAGAAGCATCTACTTGCAAAGTCACGGCTGGTTTTGGATCTTCTTGAGCATCAACAACACGAAGGCTTTGATACACAAAACAAGAGCCAAGGAGAAAAGAAAGTAGGCAAACACTTCTGAGCAACTTCCAAGACTCCATATCCATAATCACCACATCCAAATAAACCAAGAACCTATATATAAGAGGCATTTATAGAAACATTGAATCCAATTCAGCTCAAGCCGTTAGATTATTTTAAAAAGCCTCAAAAGGAGGTACCAGCTACAAAAAGAAAACTATGACATAAGACAAGTTAAAAAAGAGAGTCTCTTTTGCTCAAACTTATACACACATGAGAATATATAGGACCCATTACTGTTTTTTTTGTCCTCATTGGAATGCAACAAGACAGAGTCTTCTCAATTTTAGTTATGATGAATTTGGAATCAAAACATATCTACCAAAGCTATAAAATGAGGCTATGATAGAAAATCACAAAATCTTAAGAGTGGCTTCAATCTCTACACATAAAGTCACAACCTTCAGATATTAAATCACAATTGGCTTCAAGAACAAAACCAGACAGAAACAGAGAAACTCAAATTTCTCAAATTCAGAGGGAAAGGTGTGATATTTACAGATTCTCTCCTTAGAGAATCTCTCAAATCTTGGTCATAAAGTTTAGAGCTTTGATAAGCAACGAATTAGAATAAAGACATAAACAAGAGAATGCACAATGAAGAAGCCAGAATTGGAATCAACAAGAAATGGAAAACAAACCTGTGGAATGAAAGACAAAAGGATTGATGGAAACGAGACAAGAAATGGGTGAGAAGAGGAGAGGAGGTATAAGAATGTTTGTTTGGATATTGCTTGCTTAGAGTAAGAGAATCTTGGAATGATTGCTTTCACGTTTGATCGAATTGCTTGTTTTCGTGGAAGAAGTGGAAGTTGATTAGAAGCGACGACTACTGAACCTCGTTCACCTGTTCTCATCTATTTCTTTCTATTTTGGATAAAGATGTTTCTCCACTTTACTTTGGATAATGCTATTATTAATTGTTTGTTGAAATTTGGATAAAGATATTATTTTTTCATAAACCTACCAAATCATTTTGTTGCATTGCATTTTTTCAATGGAATCGGATGAACCGTTTTTTTGTTTGTTTTTGACTTCTTTTCAAAGAAGAAGATCACAGATTGAATCCACGCTAATCTCCGGATTTTATGAAAGAATCGAATACAATTAATTGTTAAGGAACATGTACATGTGTCATGTATGGGTTAGGAGGATAACCTTATTGATTACGTTGAGGAAAAAAAGTTAATAAAAAAAGCTAATGATTATGTTTGGTTCATCTACACAATTAGAGGTTTTATACATCATCTCTGCTAACGTATTGTTGTGTTAGCACAATCATGTCTGAATAATCACAACTGTTTTGAAAATAATAAACTCAAGATCAACAATAATGTTAAGAAAAGAAACAGAGTCAAGAACATGTTGTTCTAAAAAGTCACGTCCAATTTCTTTCGCGTTAGAATTGTGTTGTCACTCGTTTCAAGTTTTAAACTCTCGAGAAATTAGCTCTAGATACGATATTAACAATTTTCTGTTTTCCTTATTTTTTTGAAGCGTATAAAATGTTAATTTTCGACCACGAAATTCACCGTTAAAACAAAAAAAAAAACCAACTGTGGAACCATCATTACACGCATCTGTGACTTTCGAACCTCTAGTTCAGAGCACTGAAAGAAAAAATTCAAGAGTCTTGGTTTTGAAGTGAGGATCTAGTTGAGAGCAAGATCCAAGAAATCGGCACTCTAGCGAAATCAAACAACAAACATGAAACAGGGAAAAAAAAAGTACCAATCGATAATTGATGAGCATACATACACACGTTCTTAACATCAACAAAATCTCTACGACGTCATCACGGTATTGCTTTGTCTACATTTGGGAAAGAGCAATGGCGTCATCACTTTTTCCAAAATTGTAGACAAAGAAGCACAGAGATGACGTGTTACTGTCCTTCTGCAGTCGCAAGCTCTCAAATCTAATCTCTGCAGAGGAAGAAGAAGTACCTGTGTGTATTTATAGGAGGCTTCTTTAGGGTATACATTCTGGAAACCCTAAAAGAATCTACAGTGAAAACTCGCCGCTAAAGGAGGACTAAAACAATACTCGAAATGGGCTGAGCCCAATTATTAGAAGCCCAATGACACAATTCCTTTTCCTAAACATATTCGAGTTATAAATAAAAAAAGTTATCTTGCTACGAAAGAAAGTTAAAGTCTCACCTAAAGCAAACTAGCTTTCTTCTTCTGACGAAAAATATCTTAAGAGATGTCATCAGAAGCAGAGATTTGTCGGAAAAAAATAAAAAGAACGTTATTCTGCAATGACAGGATCAGCGCGTTGCCTGACGATTTACTGTTGCATATATTGTGTCTAATCCCAACAAAAGATGCGGTGACCACCATGGTTTTGTCGAAACGATGGCGTTTTGTCTGGACGATGTTGCCTAAACTCGACTACACAGAAAACTCAGAAGGCGAGAAAAGCGTTTGGGACTTCCTTGACAAGTCACTGCAACTACACAAGGCACCTTCACTAGAAAGACTGCGTATCCATCTGGGACAACAATGTCCGGTTGATGTCGATGTCGGAAAGTGGGTCTTAAATGCGGTTGACCGTTGTGTTCGAAAGCTTATTTTAGAGATTAGGTTTATACCAACCGCAGATCCTACCAGCTTGCCTAAGAGCCTTTACACCTGCAAAGCTCTTGTGAAATTGACTCTACGGGGCGAGATTCTCATTGATGTTCCTTCCTCGGCTTGCCTCCCATCCCTTAAATCGCTGTTCCTTGCCAATGTGATGTATAAAGACCAAGATTCTCATGTTAAGCTTTTATCGAGCTGCCCTGTTCTCAGATATTTGCTTGTGTGTCGAGATAAGAGTGACAATGTGACAAGGTTCAATGTGATTATGTGAAACTTCCTTCTTTAAGAAAATTGACGTATATGGATTTTCCACCACTTATTTGCAATGCTCATTCTGGAAGGTCCTTGTTCATAGATTCTCCGGGATTAAATTACGTTGACATCTTTGACCTAGGAGGACACTGTTGTTCGATTCAGAATATGCCTCACCTTGATGTGGCAACTGTGATGCCTCGCCTTGACGTGGCATCCGTGAGGGCTGTTAAACTTGGTTTTCACCCGACTAACAAGTTTCTGAGATCTTTGTCCTCAGGTGTCTAGCTTTGGCTTTGAAAGAGGTAACCATTTTGAACACCCTTCTCTCTTTCTCCTCTTTGTGATCACATTGCTGCGTTTTACACTTTTACTTATTATGTTGTGTTAATCCAATTGCAGGTTGCGTGTTGTAGTGAAATTAACTTCCCTCGGCTCATAGAGTTTAAGCTGCGTACAGATTATTCAGACAATTGGTTGGAACCACTTATGCTTTTGCTTCACAACGCTCCTAAACTAAAAGCTCTTATGATAACCTCTGTAAGTACCTCTCTCACTCTTTGTCGAACAAGTTTTGTTTTTGATGGACTAAATTGTTTATAATTACTCCTCCTTGTTTCTTCTCAGGCTTGCCATGAACACCCACTTTCGTGGAACCAACCAAGTTCTGTACCGGGATGCTTGTTGTCTCACCTTGAGATCTTTAAGTGGAAAAACTTTGGAGGAAGTAGAGAAGAGAAACAATTTTCGGCTTACATCCTCGCAAACTCAAAGTGTTTGAAGACGGTGGGAATCTCACTAAGACCTTCCAAGAATGATGAAGAGAAAAAGAAAATAATGGAGGACGTAGAATCTATGTATAGGGTTTCAGCATCATCTCAACTTCTCTTCTAATGATTCATTATATTTATCATGCATGTTGGCTTCAACCTCAAAACTTTGTATTACTATTTTTCTTCGTCTTTGTATCTTTTAACTTTATTTGCTCACATTTGTTTTCATTGTGTTTTACCAAATATTTATTTTATGATTCTTATAAATGAACTAATGAAGCAGGCGATTGTTGCCTATGAATAAGCATGCAAATGTTCTTTAGCTAGCATAGAGATGAAGAAGAGAGGATCTGTTGACTGTTGGTGTCTTTACTTGAAACAGGTTCTTATTACTTTATTAGAGATCAATCAAAACAATATTTCATTATTGTTTTAACCAAAAGATGATGATAGTTTTTCATGCTTTTGTTAAATCAGACATCAGAAATTATGTTCTGCAGGGAGACCAATCTTTGGTCCTGAAGCATCTTTCTTCTCTGTTTCTGATCTTTGGTAATGCATATGGCAACCCTTTCTTCAATTATATATCTCCTTAATTTTCTGATTCATTATATCACAATCTTGGTTAGTAAAAAAAAACAGATGCAGAATCCTCTTTGATGCCCACTTTAACACTCAACCTTCATAATTTGAATAGTTTTTTTCTTCACATTGATATCAATTACATTGTGTTTTGGTATGAACCATTTTGTAGCGACGACTCACAGAATGTAACTCTTCTTCATCTAGTCCATATCTTCAATTTAGCATTGTTGTGCTCATATGTGTTTATTAGCTAGTGTTCTTGCGAAATTAAATACCAGGTAAATATTTTTACCTTGAGAAGTTCTTTGGTCTCTTTAAACATAGAACATACCTTAACGAGTCTAAGCTTGTCTTAGCCGTTGGAATTTTCTGTTTTGTATTTGCAGAGAAGACATGAGATTCTTCTATATCAATATGGTATAAAAAGGCTAATACTTACAAGAAAAGGTAATAGAAGAATGTATTCCTGGCCAATATTATCATTTATCAGAAGCCCAATATTTATAATTTACGCGACAATGACGCAATTCCTTTTCCTAAACAAATTTGGAGTTTCAGATTTCTTTATAAATAAACACTTATCTTGCCACGAAAAGATATTTGAGTCTCTCTACTTCATCAAATAATTAGGGCTAATCTTTTTTTACGACTAAGTAGCAAAAGAATCTAGGGTTCTCCCTCACCTTATCTCATAGCGTTTCGTTGGTTCGTTTTGTTCTCGACAAAATTATCGTAAGAGATGCTATCAGAAGCGGGGATTTGTCGGAAAAATAGAAGAACAACATTCTCCAACGACAGGATCAGTGCGTTGCCTGACGATCTACTGTTGCAGATACTGTGTCTAATCCCAACAAAAGATGCGGTGACCACCATGATTTTGTCGAAACGATGGCGTTTTGTCTGGACGATGTTGCCTAAACTGGACTACACAGATCGCTACGAAGGCGAGAAAAGTGTTTGGGACTTCCTGGACAAGTCACTGCAACTCCACAAGGCACCTTCTCTAGAAAGATTGCGTATCCATCTGGGACAACAATGTCCGGTTGATGTGGACGTCGGAAAGTGTGTCTTAAATGCGGTTGACCGTTTCGTTAGAGAGCTAATTCTAGAGATTAGATATATACCAACCGCAGTTCCTACCAGCTTGCCTAAGAGCCTTTACACCTGCAAAGCTCTTGTGAAATTGACTCTACAGGGCGAGATTCTCATTGATGTTCCTTCCTCGGCTTGCCTACCGTCCCTTTTATCGCTGGTCCTTATCTCTGTGGTGTATAAAGACCAAGATTCTCAGGTTAGGTTTTTGTCGAGCTGCCCTGTTCTCAGAGAATTGTTTGTGTGTCGAAATAAGAGTGACAATGTGACAAGGTTCATTGTGAAACTTCCTTCTTTACGGAAGTTGACGTATGCATATTTGGCATCACGTAACAGTAATGATGATTCTGATAGTTCCTTGGTTACAGATTCTCCGGGCTTAAATTACGTTAACATCTTTGACACAAGAGGAGACG